ACGTGAAAACACGTTTTCAATATGGTGGCCACCAAGCAACGAGACGAATCGTCAAGACCACCTGTCTTCTTTGATGGCTCTCCGCATGCCCACTGGGCTTGACCGAAGAGAAGCCACCCTTGTTCACCGCTTATGGCTAGAAGTGGCATTTACAGAATCTTATTCATTTGTCGTCGGAATGGCCGACAACGCTCTCTGCGACGCCTGTCGTTGCGAATGCCTGTCGTTGCACCACATCTTGTGTGACTGTCCGTTATATGACATCCAGAGACATTCACTGGCGTCCGTTCTTGGGCGCATCGACAACAGCAAAATGTCTGTGGACACTATTCTTTCTAGTGCCCAGGAGAAGATGTTGCAACAGAAGGCGACAAAAGCTCAGTTTAAATTCCTACGCGACACGGACTTGAACAATTGGCTGTAACAGCAATGTCACACACCGCGAAAGACAAGAATAGACTATGACTGTGTGTGCGTGCGTGTGCTGCCGAATGTACTGTGTTTATCTCTCTTCACTCTCTCGTCTCTATCTTTTATCTACCCACACCCTCCCATGCGCAGGGTAGCAAACCGGTTGCCTATAGGCTGGTTAACCTCTTTGCTGTTCTTTTGCTCCTATTATTCCATTCCTTCCTTCTGGGAGCTCATCCTTGCTGAGAGAGAGAGAAATAACTAAACAACGCTGTGCGTGTGTGCTTCTTATCTGTCGGAGTTGTATTTTGAGCTGTAAAAGACAGTTCAAGTTGAATTAAAACTAACTATCCCGACTCCTATTTAGGCCTTCATGGTGCAATAAACCATGGTCTTTCACCTTCTCCCTCATCCCGTGGGTGAAGCCACGGGGTAAGCTTAGAAGTTCAGCTTACCACTATACCCGAGTCCACTGCTTTATTATTCGCCACTTTGCAAACTGCCGCCATCGCTCTTAGTTACCGTAAGCAAAGCTGATCAGATTTACCCAACACTAAAGCGCAAACATATTTTCAGTGCTTCTAGTGCTACAGAGCTAATGCATTTAAAAGATTTGTCACAAACATCGGCCAACAGCAGCTTCATTAAAGCAGCAATGGCGCTGCTCATTGTTGATGAAAGCAAGTTTCTTGAAGCAGCAAATGCTCTGAATGGTCCATAAAACGAATGCGTGTTCCCGTTCATAACAAAGCAAGTACAAGACGCTTTCCCACCTTGTACTGTAGCCAACTATGCAATGCGACAGCACAAGGCGCGAAACAGTCGCATAAGCAGCCCACACTGCAACGAACATTCAAGGACAATCGTCACAGCAGATATTTAAGAAATAATTTACTATAATAAAACATTTTTGGTAACATATTCATTTCCTTGTAACAATAAAATTCAGCGTTTACTCTGACGAAGGAAAACTTTGGCTCAGTTGTTGGTTTTCCTAGTCTGTAGCTAACACTGACCACTGTCAAAAGTGGGGGTGATCAGCCCCCTCCAACTTTTCTCAGTGGGGGGCCTCGTGTCCCCCTTGCCCCCCTGGCTGTACGCCTATGAAAAGACGATACTCTTGCGTCTGGAGAGAGAGAAAAGAACGTTTATGTGATGTTCTGCGCAAACAAAATCGGTGAGTGGTATTCTGGAGGCACTGCGTTAGTTGCCTCGAGTGTGCAGCGGAGGCTAACGAGCACATCAAGTCACGTCACACGTAAGACATGAGTGCTATCTGGCAGTTGTCCAGGAAAACGGGGCGCGCACCGTGCGCACTTGTCTCTGATGTGATAAGGTGTAGAACGCAAGGCGACGGGTAGGTGCCAACACCGTGTCGTCTTAGCGAAGCGTTGGAAACACATGCCGTTTCATGCAAGCCTTGCATAGCCAGCGCAGCGTCATAAAGGCTACGATCTTTAAATTACATATGTATGCCTTTTCTGGAAAAAATACACATACATATTATTGACGTGTTGTTATGATGCCTCAGATATGCGCAATAATTGCTTTTTAATTGACAATCACACAAGTATGAACGCTGAACCTTAGGCAATATTGGTGGGTGTTGCGGGTGGGGTCGGCCGTTTGGAGTATCGTTTGGTCATTTTGGTGCCGTTTAGGGTACCGTTAAGGGTAGATAAGCAGACAAGTGTACAGAGAGACAGACAGACAGACAGACAGACGGACGGACAGACAGACAGACAGACAGACAGACAGACAGACAGACAGACAGACAGACAGACATAAATTTTTGTGTGAAGGTCCCCAAGAAAGACTACCGTCTTTAAAAACTTCCCGATCCCGATTAGTATAGGCCGTAGAATTTGTGGGAAGGAGTGTGGTGTCGTGCGAAGCCTCTGTGATGCCACGCTGATAGCGCCTGTGCACCATGGCTATATAAGCGCTGTGAACGTGGCGCTCAGTGTTCTTTTCTGCTCAGAATTCATGTACTAATAAACCGTTTTACTGTTCTTCGTTCACGACCTGCCCCGCCGTGGTGGTCTAGGGGCTAAGGTACTCGGCTGCTGACCCGCAGGTCGCGGGATTGAATCCCGGCTGCAGCGGCTGCATTTCCGATGGAGGCAGAAATGTTGTAGGCCCGTGTGCTCAGATTTAGGTGCACGTTAAAGAACCCCAGGTGGTCGAAATTTCCGGAGCCCTCCACTACGGCGTCTCTCATAATAATAGGGAGTTTTAGTGCTGGGTACGCAGGTGGCTGGCGTACGCAGGATGATGGGGCGGCGGTATTGCGCATGCGCGAAGCCCCAAACAGATGCGTCGCAAGATCGCTGTGGCGATGGGGCGATGCGTCTGTGCGCCCATAAACAACGCTGCCGTCACTGGCCTCCTAGCGGAGATAAGTGAAGATAAGCGAAGCCGAGGCTGGCCAGAGCCACCAGTTTGACTTGTAAGCACAAAGGCGCCAAATCTCGCACAGGATGGATCAGCCGCCTTCCCAGATTCCGCCTCCGGCGAAGCAGCGCAGCGCAAGGTTTTACTTTACGCCGGAGGTGGACATTTTTCTTTTACGGGAGGTGCTGGCCGTGGACCCTTTTGAAGATAGTTCGAGATGGGCCGCCATCGCTCGCAACTTATCGGCGGTGTTGCTGAGGAATGTTGTTGCCCGGAGCCTTCGGGACCGCCTCGATTTGTTGCTCGCGCAGTTCGCCGCGCGCGACAGAGAAAATCTAAGAAGGTAAGTGTTCTGATCGCTTCCCTTCTCTAATAACCTATGTGTACTTACGTGCTACGTCATTTCCAATCTTTTCTGCTGCCGCAGCACTTGCGCTGCTGAAGGCCTAACTGCGCTGAGCTGTGCTCGTGTGGATCTCCATGATATGCAATATGCAAAAGCAGAATCTGGTCAGAAAGAAAGCTAGTGCCTAGGAATAGCCCTGGTAAATCTAAAACGTTTCCTACTATAGGCAGCGCAACAAGTGAAAAATAATATAAGTCGAGTCAATCGCGAAACGTGATTCTTAGGCCACCGGTCCAAATTTTGCCTGCTCTTGAACGCATTCAGTTAGGAATGACCTCTTCCTAGCAACTTTACGTGAAAAGTCAATCAGAACGAATGCTTAAGTGTTTGAGAGTTGCTCATATGCTTCACTCTACCGTTCCAACAATATGCATGTTCGAGGAGGCTATTTACTATTGGCATCATACAGCGGCTTAGAGAATAAACATGTGGTGCGCATGCATGTAACAATTGACAACTTTAAATGGGTTGCCCAGAGATGTCAAACAGTTGAGAGAAATGTGGTGTGTTAAACTTCCAAAGTGCACAAACATGCCGGCAGTCAGCGTTTCTTCTGTCCTTCACATTAACGAGTGCTGTTTGTATATGTTATGGGATATTAATATTATTGCTAATTAATCTCCCTTAGATCTGGAACAGAAGAAGAATATAATGAAAAAGAGAGGCTGCCGGCAGAGGTATACCACTTAGCACAGAACAGTGGGTACTGCTTGAAATGTAGTGCCAAAAGCAAAGTTGCAGCTGCAGCAAAACAGCAGCTGAAGCAGGAGCAAGCAAAATTGGAGCGCCCACCTACAGAAAAGAAAATAGCTGCAGCAATCCGAGACCTAGGCGCCTCAGAATTCGAAGTAACTGAAAGGGAGTGGATGTCCTCATCTCCACTCCCTGAAAGGGAGTGGAGATGAGGACGTACTGTCTTCGCATGATGAAGACATGTGTAAGTATCTTACTCCTTACTTAAAAATCAGTAGTTCAATTAAATGTTTTCTTAGTTTAGCAATTAAATGAATATCAAGACAACAAATAGAAATTGTTAAGTGGCATGACTTATACTATGACATCATTAAGGTTAGTGAAGTATTGGAATGTAGCAGGCAGAACGAAAGAACAATTGCTCAGTATTACTGACTTTATAACGAAACAGAAAAGGTTTGCTTCCTGGTTCTTCCGAACATCAAACAGAAAAGTTGCTCACTGCCTAGTTTACATGTTTATTTGGCCAGATGTACGTTTTCATATTTACCGCACACGCTCAGAATATTCTGGGGGCGTGCAGTATGTTCACTTATTCTATATGAGCGTCTGATTTCGCTTTTTTTTTCACTCGAGGGTTTGTTTCCTGTGCACAGTTTTCCAAGCAAATGTGGTTGTCGAGGAATTCGCTTTTAATTATCTTGGAACACCTGGGAAAAGTCAGGGAATTTGAAAAAAAATCAAAATGGTAGATACCCTGACTGCTTCTTTAAAAATATTACGTAGGACCTTCAGAGTCCTTCAATACCCCTGAGTTGTTTACGTCTGCACCAACCACTAGTAAAACGAGATAAAATCGTACGTTTCCTCAAAGTGCTGGTATCACCAGATTACCTTGATGTCTCTGATAAGCAAAATAAACTATGCGCTACAACATTTACTCTTTCTCAGGGTCCACAAACGTCTATGACTTGGGGGAGGCCCAAGCTTCAGCTACCTGTGATGACTGCGAGGTGCTGGCATCAGTTCCACAACTACCCGACAGCACCTCGGTGAGTACAACAGGGCAGACGGCTGCATCCAGCAGCGTGCTGGTTCAGGACTTCTCACCCAACCCTTCACCTGGCATCCTCCATGAGCCAAGTCCACGCCCTACCCTGAACACCATTCCTGATCGCACCCTTGACCCCACCTCTACCTGCCATCCTAGCCCCATCCTTGATCGCACCCGTGGTTCTTCCCCTGCCCCTCCCCCTGGCTCTTCCTCTGGCCCCACTACTGGCCCCACCTCTGGCCCCACCTCTGGCTCCTCGCCAGGCCCCACACAAGGCCCCCCCAGTGGCGTTTTGCCCACTATTGCAAAGGGGTATATGCGTACACCACCTGGCATATGCCTAAAAAATCGTACGTTTCAGTTTACTACTGTTTGAACCTTGTAAGACGGCCTTGCCCATCCACCAGCTTCTGGCAAAGCATGACTAATTTGTGACACAAAAATCACCATTGTCAGTTTGTATTTCACAAACAAAATGCAACTAGCCAGACGTTTCAATGTGGATAAACTAATAGCTATATTCGTTACTCTGACATTTTGAGTTGTTTCTTAAATATTCATTACTGCATGTACAAGGAGCGCATCTAAATGAAACGTATAAATGCTTTATTTTATCTGTAACCAACCTATTACAGTGACCTGTGTGATACTGCTTCTACTAACACATTGTCAATGTGTTACTTCAGCCCATCTAGCAAAGTCGTGTTCTTTCTTTCCTTTTTTTTCTTTCCTTGGGCCATTCTCCTTTTATTACCTCGTAAGCAGCGTGGAATAGAGCGGAAATGGATTACGATATTGTGAGCATATACCTTCTTCACCTGTTCACAATCATGATCGTTGCTTGTGGGGACTCATCCGTATATTGTTCACCCACATCTTGAAGGCGATGGAGGCGAAAATGTTGTATGTCCATGTTCTCAGATTTAGGTGCACGTTAAAGAACTCCAGGTGGTCAAAATTTCTGGAGCCCCACACTACGGCGTATCTCATAACCCCATGATGGCTTTGGGATTTTAAACCCCACACATCAATCAATCACATCTTCAAGGCGTATTAAAGACCTGACATCTCCTTCGTCACAATGTGCACACTCAAACTTTCAGCACTAGTTAGGGTATGCAAAAAAGCATCAGATTATGTGTGAGGAACTGAATGACGGCAAAGTGAAGCGTCTAGGCTTTTTTCTGCATTGGACAATATTTTAGTATTAAACTATGGAAGGCAATTTCAGAATGTACACCTACTAAAATTGTGAAAAAAAACTCGATTTTCACTATAATTCATGGCCTTCACATTTTCACCAGGACCTAATCACTCATTCCAGTCCCTGTGACTTTGCGCAAGAATTAAAACATGATGATTCTACTTCTCATGTCAATTTAGAGCCTTTCTGGGTGCTGAATTAGAGGTGCTTAAAAGCTCCTCGGCTGTCTTTGGTCTGGGAACTTCTACCTCTGTATATTGACAGCTTAGATTGCCTTTACATGCATGTGATCCCAACTTATCCTGGTAAAGTTTAGAAACGAAGAAGTGTTACTTCTGTTACAACCTTTAAGCAGTCTACACTTGCTCTAACCTATTTTACTAGCCAGTGCAAGTATTATGTATCTTGCAGGCAGGTCAAGCATGTTGACAACTCTCCATGCGGTCAAAACATTCAGTGGATAAAATAGACTGATTTCGTGCAGCTTGCACGAAACCTACCTAGATAGCGTATGAAAGCAACAGTGAGAATGAGTGTAGCAAGAGTGCATGCATGTTCTATTTCTCATGGAAACATCGCATAATGCTTAACATTGTGCAATTACAGGAAAAAGGCGTGAGGATCCCCACTTGCAGTTTTTTTTTTTTCAAAAAAAGGCTGCAACATGAGGTTAGGTTCCTGCACCGCATAGCACCACATAGGATAATCTTCCTTCCATACATACACACATACATGCACAAACCCAGAAAAAAAGGTGTGTTTGGGCCTTGAAGATAGCCAGGCTTCAGACACTAACAAAACTTTAGGCTACTTTATGGTTATTGTACTTGACAGTTCTAATATGGAAGTCTAAACAAATAAAGCACATGATTACCAAAATGTGCTTGTGACTTATAGACTAAAAGCAGGGCTGTACGTTACCTATCTCGGTCTGCATGTAATCGAACAAGTACTTGTTGCCGCGGAACACTTAGCAGAAATTAAGGTACAGGAAGGTATAGCGCCAACTTTGTGTCAATTATTTTAATAGCACATGTGAAAGGAATGCCTTTGCATTATCACGCAGAGATTAGGCACTGCCAGGTTCAAGCAGCTATAGACTCTAGGTCTAGTCACGATAGCCACTAAAGGTGGCCCATGCATTTCATCCGAAAAGTGTCCACGAGATGAATACTGGCTGACAGCAAGCCAAAGTAGTGGAACCATCCGTAATGTTCCAATGTGTTGGCTTATATTGGGAAAGGCTTTCAGCAAAGTATCATTGGGAAAAACTTGTCGGGCATCAAACATGTGGTTAGGGTATCACGACTCAATGTCACAGGTTTCAAGTGTAAATTAAGCCTTTAGGACATTTTAGTTACACTTGTTAATCACTAAACACCTTTCAATTGACCTTAACACTCGCGTCACTTAGCACTGGAAGAAAAAAAAATGGGAACATGAGAATGGACTTAGCACTTGCATAACTCCTCTTCACTCCATTTTTTTGTCGATTTGCACTATGTGATAATAGTGTTTGGTTAATAAAAAGTGCGAACCAACTAGCCCAAGAAATACAACACTTGCAAGCTACCTTACTCAAAATCACTGTACTGCGCTCGCAACAGTTTTTGTACTGAATCAAAGAACCATTTTTATGGGCTTATTATGCTAACACAGTGATAAAAAGTATGGCAATACAGCAGTCTCAAAGACTGTCTTTTGTGCACCAGCTTTTACATGTTTGACAGTGCAACAGTTTGTTCAAAAATTATGACAAAAAAGATCCAAAAGACAATACCAGAGGATGTGTTTATAACATGCAAATTCACTGCTTCGGTCACTAACGCATTTTAGTAAATGATGCAAGTCCCAGTCTTGTTTCCACATTTAGGTAGAAGAAAAGCATTAAAAATGTGTTATGCTAGTGGCACACAATAATTTCTGATTCCCATTGAGTGCGATCTGAATTGAATTTCCTGACCATGATTCGTTCTGTCACGCCAGTGGCAGGAGAAAGCAAATCGATCCTGAGGAGTACAATCTCGCTCATGCTTAACTAAATTAAACGCCAAAAGTAAAGTTTGGCGCTTCATTAACCCTTTACCAAATAACAGCATAGTTCTAGTAGATGATTTTGACAATCCAGTTCTTACTGACATGTGCGCCGATCTTCTTAATGACACTTTTAAAAACAACCTTTCTCGAGTTGATAACGTCATCCAACCCGATGTGCAAAACTTCAATTATATTGCCATGCGCACCAATATCCATTGATCATTCTGGTATCACTAAACTCATTGATAACTTGCCCATTCACTCCTCCCCTGGCCATGACAATATTGGCACCAAATTTCTGAAAAGCACCGTTACTTACAGTTTAGTGATATTAACAAAAATCTTTCAACAGTCCTTAGATACAATAACTATTCCCACACAATGAAAAATCGGGAAGGTGGTCCCAATCTTTGAGTCTGGTAATAAACACTCTCCGAAAAATTATCGCCCTATTTCTTTAACAAGCACTTCCTGTAAATTATTAGAACATGTCATTTTCACCAACCTCATTAACTTCCTTGAATCGAATTCTTTTTTTACACCAGCACAACATGGTTTTCACAAACATTTGTCATGCGAAACACAGCTCATATATTTCACTCACAAACTGCATCAGATTTTAGACCATTCATCTGGTGCTGATTGAATTTTTTTAGACTTCAGTAAGGCTTTCGATAAAGTCTGTCACCAACTACTACTCTTCAAATTGAGCCTACTAAATATTGACAATAGTTTACTCAAGTGGATTGAGTGTTTCTTGTTTAACCGTGTTGAATACGCTACTGCGAACAATCACAGTTCGTCATCTGCTGCGGTCCACTCAGGTGTACCGCAAGGGTCAGTTCTTGGTCCACTTTTGTTTCTAATTCATATTAATGACCTCACGTCTTCACTTTCTTCTAACATTCATCTTTTTGCAGATGACTGCGTCATTTTTCGTGAAATAACCAGTAATATTGACAGTTGAAGCCTCCAATCTGATCTTAACACAGTAGCAGCTTGGTGCAGCACATGGCGAATGGACTTAAGCATCGCTAAATGTAAGGTAATGCGCATAACTAGATCTGCTAACACCCCACCAAAATACTACTTAAGCAACGTCCCACTTGATCCAGTCTCCTCGTGTAAATACCTGGGCATTCTTATCACATCTAACTTATCTTGGGCACCCCACATCGCATACATTACTAATAATGCGAATCGCGTGTTAGGCTACATACGTCGTAAATTTTCAAAAGCACCTTCTGCAGTAAAACTTCTGTTGTACAAAACATTAATTCGTTCCAAACTTGAATATGCATCATCAGTGTGGGATCCTTACCACGATAACCTGGTTACTTTACTTGAGCGCGTACATAATAACTCCACCCGTTTCAAACTTTCTAACTAAAATCGCATCGTCAGTATCAGTTCAATAAAATCCAGCCTAGGCCTTCCTTTCCTTGCATACCGCCGGAAAATATCTCTTTTGAGTACATTTCACAAATTATTCCATCATCCCACCCTACATAACCAATTATTCTTCAATTCTCAGTACATATCCCATCGCATCGACCATCGTCATAAGGTTGGAATCGCATCCTGCAACTCCCAGTGTTTTTATCGATCATTTATACCTCGTACTTCAGTAGATTGGAACCACCTTCCCGAAGACGTCGTCACTATTACTAATAACAATATTTTCCGCCAATTATTACTCAGTAATGTATGAGCTAAGTGTTATTCAAAATTGTATTATGTTCACCGTCGTTGCACAGCTACTATTATATAACCAGTAGTTTTTCTTTACTATTTTTATTTTTGTTGCATTGTTTCTTCTCATGCTGTATTTTCTCTGCTGTACATTTTGTTGTATAATATGTATTTTCTATGCTGTATATTCTCATGCTGTATTTTCCTTTTCATTATAAACTTTATTTCCACTCCCCTCTCTAATGCCGTATTGCCCTGTGGGTAAATAAAATAAAAAATAAAAAACTGCAATCGGCAGGATTCACTGTGACACTCGTATTAGTAACTATACTACTTTAGCAAACAGTATAATAAATGAAGGCACACTGACCGGCATCATGCTTGTGCCCTATATATGGCCCATCAAGCTGGCACACAATTCCGTTTGCACACATGACCGACTGATACTTTACAGAATGCTGCCTTTTGTGGCCTGAAAAGTATATCCGCTGGTTGACTGTAGGGCGGCAAATGGGCCTCGCCGTGCCGTCCACGAAGCCCCAGCAGTTGCGCACGGGTGCACCTCTGTTGTACACAGCCTGCGAAGACAAGGAAAACATACATGAAAATCTTGCATATGACTGAAGCACTAAAATCGCGCAGCATTGTGAAAAAATTGAACAGCTTGACAACCTACATAAAGATCAAGAACTATAGAGCAGGGCTAGAACGTGCGTGCACTGAAATTACACAATATGAATATTACGTGCTTACTTCGGAGTACTCCTTCAGATCATTCAAGCTCAGCCAGCTGTGGTTGTTGACATCCACAAGCAGGTGCCCGAAGGTGCTATCGATGTGGCCGAATAACTGGCTGACTATATTAGATAGCGCCGACGAGTGACGGCCAAAAAGAGGCTCCAAGTCCCACCACGTGAGCCTGCGCAACCCCATCAAAAGCGCTTCTTGTCTGGACACGGTAACGCCTTGGCTGCTCCGAATCATTGGAATCTTCAGGGCCTCGGTCAGAACTTGCAGGTCTTCCTTGTAGAAGCGGAATTGCCTCCGGAAGGCCTGCTCGTCGATTTTGTTTATGTCTATATGGCCACCGGCTGATTTCCCAACCCTTTGTCCAGGCGCGGGGTCGCCGAGGAAAAAATCTTCTATCTCTGTCCAAGAAAGATCGAGGTAGAGCAGCTGGTCGCAGAGCACGCTGCAACGCCGACGACGCAACGGTGGCATAACTCTCAGAAGAACACACGATGCCGATGACAAAGTCCTATTCACGTACGTTGCCTCATTTTTTACACGTTGTTCTGTTGTCGTGCTTGTCGGGCTACGACCGGCCGCTTGTATTGCTTGGCATCGGCGGCACCGGCTTTAGTCGCAACTGCGGCCCATACGAAAAAAAAGTTTGTTTAGTGTTGAAAGCTGTCAGAATAATAAAAACTAATTTCTTGATAGTTTTCACCTCATTTCACTATGTACGTTAAATTTGACACTTTAAATCGTGAAAATAATATAAAATATACTTACGTGACCAGACGTTATGGCGCTGCGAGCGCGTGACTTTCGTGCGGCTCGCGTTTGCGTGCGTGCCACCGTGGTGCCAACTAAAAAGAATTCCGGTTGGGTATGGGTTGTGCACGCAACCCCGCGCGCTCCCAATCCCGCATCGCCCCAAGAGAATGCCTACCCAGCACTAAAACTCCCTAATATGGTGGTTGCGGGACATAAAACCCTACATATTGTTACCACACTGCTCCTGCTGTGGCCCCGTAAACTCGCCGGGTCGGCGCTTTTGCCGCCGGCGGTCGTGTTACGTGATTTCGGCTGACTGAAACAGGGCATAGTGGGACATACCCAAGAAAGGTGCCTCAGACTGAGAGTGAAGAAGTGGACATTGTCGGTGAGCTGCGTTGAGGCTGTAGACTGACTACAGTTATTTTCCACGTAATAATATCATCAATCGTTCACGACCACACTTGTTCTGCTTGTTCTTCGAGGCTACAACAATGTCTTGCACTCTGTCTGGGTCCAGTGAAAGACATTCTGTAACGGCCCCTGTATCAGCGCGCTGGACTGCAAAAATTGGCACGTTTTTCATTGAGCTTTAAAATGCATTCTCTGCAGCGTTCAAGCAAAGCCATCAAGTTTCTGTCATGCTCCTGCCTTATCTCTTCACATACTACTATGTAGTCCATCACGACTGCCACGCCAGCCATACTTGCAACCACTTTATGCATGGCGCGTTGAAAAACTTCTGGTGCCGATGTGATGCCGAATGGCATGCGCAAAAACCTGTACTTCCCAAACGGTGTGATCATGGTGCAGACATGCGAACTTTCTTTGTCAAGGGTTATTTTTATAAAATGAAATATTTATTTAAATAAAATATTTAGCTCCTTGCAGCCGTGGCAGCACGTCTTCCAAAGTTGGCATATGGTAATGCTCTCGCAAAATTGCCTTGTTTAAAACTGAAGGGTCCAAAGATATACGTACCTTACCATTGTTTAGTACAACGACCTTACGGCTGGACCTTGAGCACGGTTTTTTCACCTTTGTCATGACGCCGTCGCATTCCATCTCGTCTAGCTTTGCTTTTTCTAGTTCTTGAGTGGGAACAGCAATCCTTCTTGCTGGTTCGATCGTACATCAGCATTTAGCTGTAGGTGATAGGTGATCTCTGCAAGGTGTCCTAAGCCCTTAAAAACATCCCCAAAGCTACATACCGAGATGTCAGTCACTTTGGCATTGACTGCATCTATGCGTTGTATTAGATCCAGTCTTTCAGCCACGTGGCCACCTAATGTAACTGGCACCTCTTGAATGACAACAAAAAACGTTACCTCAGTGCTGTTTGTTATTTTCGCGACCACCAGGTTTATCTTCTTGGTTGCGTTTTTTGTGTGGGCGAAAAAAGTGCGCACGGTAGCAGAACTGTTTTGCGCAGGAGCCATCAATAGCTTTCAAAAGACAGTTTCTGACATGACGCAACAGTTCGCTCCTGTGCCGATTTTGCACATAATTATGACACCAGCCATATTCGACGTCGCTACCCAGCGCTCGTCGCTTTTGACTGCGTGAACTTCCAACGTCTGTAAAAAGTATACTTCGTCATCGGCCATTTCTACTTGTCGTAGATGCCGTCCTTCTGGTCGCGTTTTCCGGCTCCGCGTGCGGCACACACTTGCGAAATGGTTCAGGCCTTACACTTCTTGCAATATTTTTCTCATGCCGGACATTTCACAGCTCTGTCTTGGTGTTACCCGCATTTTGGGCAGGGGGCGTCGTTTTCCTACCGCGTTAATGCTTCTTTCAGGTTCAAAGAAAGTGCTGCCTCGAATTTCAGTGACCTGTCCTTTCCTTTGTTTTTTAGCATGACAAATGCCAACTGTTTTTACACAGGCGAGATTTTCATAGATAAGTCTGTGCTGAAGTTCCTTGTCTCGTATCCAAAGAAGTATTTTACAGCTTAGAAGCGTAACTTTAAGCTTTCCTGATTCGCACTGAACTGCTAGAATACTAATCTCTCTGAGCCAATTGTTAAATGGCTCATTTTTTCACTGGCTCCTGAATCCAAACCGAAACTTGCTGAAGGTGAAATTTGTTATTGCTTTGTAGTGGTCTTGAAATTTCTGATTTAAGGCTTTAAGGTCTGTGATGAGGTCTTTTGTAATAGAGAGTCCAATGAGAGCAAGCTGCGTGGAGAACAGCAACGCTCTTAAAAAATGGCGAGGCTGGTTTCTGGTTTTCACACTAATGAAAACAGCACACGAACACGATACCCACAACAGAACAGAACATCTCACAAGCTATGTACAACAATCTCAGCAATCACAAAAACAAGTCTAGCCCAATCATAAACTAAGAAGTCTCACCGGTGAGTATACAAGTGGGAGAGTGAACAAGAGTACGGGGATGCGTCGTTGGAAGAAAAAAGGTGGACGACGCTGAGGTGTATGCACTGACGGAGCAGGTAGGTACCGAAAACAGGGCCGACGAAGGCAGGCAGCCCTTTCCTCGGACGCGCAGACCAGGGTCCACAGCCAAGCACTCGGGATAACGCGCCCGACAGTGCACCTGGTGGCTGCGGTGGCGCACCGCTGGCTTCGTGGATCATCGAAGCTTGAGGTCAATTGAAGCAGTCAACTCCGACTTCTGACCTCTACCAGGCACTCGGATAAAACCACGACCCTGACGCTGGCGAACTGCCTCTACCCTGCTTCTTCTATGAACAGACCAAGAGCCCCTTGCCCACTGCCGTGGCTCCTCGGGTCAAGTTGGTGGCCTTCTTCTGGTCCTCGTCCTCAAACTTGAAGGTTAAAAAAACACACCTTGCCTGTTTGCCGATTTTCATTATTAATGTAGTGGCCTGAACATCCTGCGGCAGTAGCATCAGCTTAGCTGCTATTGCGACAAGTTAGAAATTGATTTTCCAGATGTTCAAGTTACGATAAACGTCTCCAGTGTTGTCGAGAGGCTCGAAGGCTGTAGGAGTGTAGAACTCATTGTTGTGTCTGCAGTTTTGGATGACCCAGTAGTTTTCAAACTTGGTCATAAAGAACGCTCGTCCCACATCGCCTTCATTAAAGCTGTTCTCCATGGCAGAGGCTAAGTGTCATGCCCACTTCTGACACCGTGCAGGCCAGACGAGTAGCAGGGAACAAAACTGGTTTATTCAGCGACGCAGCCAAGAATATAAAGAGGCTAGTGTGAAGCGGTGGGGGCGTGGAGCATCCATGTTAGACGACTCACAAGCGTAAATCAATTCGTGCTCCATTACAAAATATAGGTTAAAGCGACCTGCAATAAATGAAGTGCGCGCGCTTCGCATTTCAACGTGTACCTAGAGCGACAGTATTTTTACGTTGTTTTTTCTTCATACTTTCACCTTTAGTTTTACCTTTGCGGTGAATTGCGTAATCTTAACTGTGGTAATTCACCTGTTTCTCCAAATACGTCGCCTGGTGGAAATCTAACACCTGGTTAAAATGACATAAAACCGAATGTACTTTAGCTAATGGCCATTTTTCGATCACTTCCCACCAAATTCTTGCGCCTAGATAATCAGGACAAAGTGTTGTAGCTGGGTGTTCGTGTACCATTGGAATGGCCAAGTTGTCCCCGATCAATGGAAATAGAAAAGCAAGATATTTCGAGTTGACATACTATTTATCGCTGTAGTTTATTACTCTCGTGCACATAATTGTTCACTCACATTTTACCTGCTATACATAAACCTAAATCGTTATTGATTTTTTATACTGGGCCACCGTGTTAACATCCAAATACTTATCTTCAGCTCGTTCTTATGCATGCTTTAATGTTGCGTACTTAATCTGTGCTCTCGGGCAGAAGGCACTGCAGCAAAGTTTCACGACTATTTGGGACGAAAAAGCCGTCTATGAACCTGATAGCATCAAAGAGCTCGTGTCACCAAAATTATGGCGTCGACGTTGGTGGTTCCAAGCGAATAGCGTAATTCAAGAGATGTATGCATATCATTGCATTATTCATACCATTGCATATCATTGCATATCAATGCATATGCATATCATTGCATATTACGCATTTTTCATTTGAGATGTATGCATATCAATATATATAAAGAAAAATTCAGTTTTACTACGAAATTGAACCCAGTACTTCCACGTGCAAAACAGTTGTGCTACCGCAGAGCCCTGCCCATAAGTGGAATTGCTTCATGAAAAAGAAAACACTACAGAAATGTTATGTTTCGCGGGGAGCGTCATTAACCCACATATTGCGTGGCAGAAGCGTAGAAGCAAAACAGGTGTGGAAGCGGTTTAACTGTGTAAAGAGGGGGTGGTTTCACGGCCAGTGAGATGCAAAGCACGTGAGCACAAATCATGATCAACAACGTGTGAAGATGTGCAAGCACAGGTGTTGTTTTACGGACTCGTATTGGTTAATTTATCAACTCGCGAAAGGAAAAGATTTGTCGTAGTGGGTCCTTCGCAACTGCACTTGTAGAAGGCATTGTAGGATAGTTTGACTCTTATTACCACATTAAAAAGTGTTTTTTTCCTGTGTATTGGTAAGATCATTTTTGCCAGTTCGAAGAGTGCTCTAGTACGCATTGTAGCATACCAGATTTTGCACAATGAAATGCTGTTTCCAGAAAAAATATTTCTTGTAGAGCAGCAAAAATATTTCGGAATGAATAAATATGTGAAAATTGCATATTTTTTACGCCAGCTGGTCAGCAGCGAAAAAAA